ACCCAGCCTGGCCTCAAGCGAACCGCCTGCCTTAGCCTCCCAAAGTGCTGGAATTACAGGCACAAACCACCATGCCTGGCCTGAAGGGTTTTAAGTTGGAGAGTGATAAATGATCGTGATCAGATAATGATGGTTTAGACAAGGGTAAGAAAGAAGCCAAAACCCTGAAATATTTAAGGGGTATATGTACAGGAGCTGGTAATTGACCAAATGAGCTGAGGGGAATGAGCTAACTGGGAGGAGTTACCAGAGAGGTGTGTAGCTGGGGCTGACATGGGATTCATGGTCAGTTTCTATCAAGGAGGGCTGGGTGGTCCCCACTGCTCTTAACACTCGGCATGACTCTAGAGCAGGTAGCCACCATGGGTCCCTTCCCTCCAGGGGATGTCCAGTCTCCTTTCCTTAGACTCACATTTCTCCAGGTGAGATCTGTGGATGTGTCACCTTGAGGGGTTCGCTAGTTCTCTAGAAGGATGCTTGGCTTTGGGTTTCCATTTTCATCACCAATAGGAGTATCGGGGCCTAAGGCCATCCAGACCTACTCTACTGAGTCTGTGCCTTTGTCACACCATATCCCGCAGTGCAGTCAGCAAAGTACCACCCGCCATCTTCAGTTAACAGTCAGGTGGAATGTCACGGGTTTTACACTTACCTACTTTGGAAACAGTTTGATTTTCAGGTTAGGTATAAGAACAAAAGCAAAAAGAAGTGTTTTTTTGTTTTTTTTTTTTTGAGATGGAGTCTCGCTCTGTCGCCCAGGCTGGAGTGCAGTGACCAGATCTCAGCTCACTGCAAGCTCCGCCTCCCGGGTTTACGCTATTCTCCTGCCTCAGCCTCCCGAGTAGCTGGGACTACAGGCGCCTGCTACCTCGCCCGGCTAGTTTTTTGTATTTTTTAGTAGAGACGGGGTTTCACCATGTAGGCCAGGATGGTCTCGATCTTCTGACCTCGTGATCCGCCTGTCTCGGCCTCCCAAAGTGCTGGGATTACAGGCGGTTTTTGGTTTTTTAATATACCCAGTTTTGTTTTACCTAAGTGATGTGATAAAAATGATTCAAGTTAACATCTTGAGGGGAGATGGGCCGATGAAAAATGTTTTGTTTTTTCATTTTTTGAGACAGTTTTGCTCTTGTTGCCCAGGCTAGAGTGCAATGGTGCGATCTTGGCTCACTGCAACCTCCACCTCCCGGGTTCAAGTGATTCTCCTGCCCCAGCCTCCTGAGTAGCTGGGAGTACAGGTATGCGGCACCACGCCCAGCTAATTTTGTATTTTTAGTAGAGATAGGGTTTCACCACGTTGGTCAGGCCGGTCTTGAACTCCTGACCTCAGGTGATTCGCCCGCCTTGGCCTCCCAAAGTATTGGGATTACAGGCGTGAGCCACCATGCCTGGCTGAAAAATGTTTTCTTTAAAAGGATGGGCCAGGCATGGTGGCTCATGCCTGTAATCCCAGCACTTTGGGAGGTTGAGGTGGATGGATTACTTGAGGCCAGGAGTACAAGACCAGCCTGGCCAGCACAGTGAAACCCCGTCTCTACTTAAAATACAAAAATTAGCTGGGTGCAGTGGCATGCGCCTGCAATCCCAGCTACTCAGGAGGCTGAGGCAGGAAAACCACTTGAACCCAGGAGGCAGAGGTTGCAGTGAGCTGACATTGCACCACTGCACTCCAGCCTGGGTGACAGAGCAAGACTCCATCACACATACACACAAATAAATAAATAAAAGGAGTTAGTAGGTCGGGCATGGTAGCTCACGCCTGTAATCCCAGCACTTTGGGAGGCTGAGGCAGGCAGACCATGAGGTCAGGAGATCGAGACCATCCTGGCTAACACGGTGAAACCCCGTCTCTACCAAAAATATAAAAAATTAGCCGGGCATGGTGGCGGGTGCCTGTAGTCCCAGCTACTTGGGAGGCTGAGGCAGGAGAATGGCATGAACCCAGGAGGTGGAGCTTGCAGTGAGCTGAGATCCGGCCACTGCACTCCAGCCTGGGCGACAGAGCAAGACTCTGTCTCCAAAAAAAAAAAAAAAAAAAAAGTATATTTCTCAGGTTTGAGAAAGTGTCCCTGACAAAAAGTAATTCCAATAGAATGTGACAAGTGGTTTGACAGGACAGGATGAGGTGCACTGGGAATATAAGCAGTAGCCCCAAACCTAGGCTGTGGATCAGTCTGGACTCTATCCTGAGGGCAGTAAAGTCTAGGAGTGCCTGGCCCTATCAGATCTGGGCTTTTTTGTTCAAAATAATGGATTAAATGAACAAGGCTGAAGGCAGGGAGACCCGCAAAGAGGCTGTCTACGCACTCCTCGAGGGTAAGAATGTGTCTGGAACCTCTCTGGGATCCCAACTCTGCACAGCCCCATGCTGAGGAGGTACACTGTGAGATGCCATGCACTGCTGGGCACCCAGGGTCAGCCCAAGACTTTGTGCCTTAGGCAGAGACATGAAGCTGAAAACAGTAGAAACACCCACTGTATGCCAAACACTGACCAGTAGCCTTTTTTTTTTTGAGATGGAGTCTCGTTCTTGTTGCCCAGGCTGCAGTGCAATGCAGCCATCTCGGCTCATCGCAACCTCTGCCTCCCGGGTTCAAGGGATTCTCCTGCCTAAGCCTCCTGAGTAGCTGGGATTACAGGCATGCACCACCACGCCCAGCTACTTTTTTGTATTTTTAGTAGAGATGGATTTTCTACGTGTTGGCCAGGCTGGTCTTGAACACCCGACCTCAGGAGATCCACCTGCCTTGACCTCCCAAAGTGCTGGGATTACAGGCATGAGCCACCACACCTGGTCTTTTTTTTTTTTTTTTTTTTTTTTTGACATCATCTCACTCCATCGCCCAGTCTGGAATGTAGTGGTGCAATCACAGCTCACTGTGGCCTCCACCTCCAGGGCTCAAGTAATCCTTCCTCCCACTTTAGCTCCCCAAGTAGCTGAGACTACAGGTATGTACCACCATGCCCAGCTAATTTTTTTGTTTTGTACAGATGGGGTCTCCCTATGTTGCCCAGGCTGGTCTCAAACTCCTGGGCGCATGTGATCCTCCTGCCTTGGTCTCCCAAAGTGCCAGGATTACAGGCGTGAGTCACTGTGCAGGGAGGGCCTAAGTGAGCCTTGAATTCTTCTCTTCCCCTCCTCCCTACACTCATGAAAGTGCTACAATCACCTCTCTTTTTTCAGATGAGGGAATAATGAGGCTCAGAGAGAAGGCAGTGACTTGGCCAAGGTCCAGGCTTCCTCTTGTGGAGAAGATGGAATCTGAGTCAGGATCTGTAACTTTAGAGCCTTTCTCATACAGATACTTGGATTAACCATTGCCCAGAGTATAAAGTTAGGTGACAGGAGTTCTGAGGGCTGAAATACTTACCATGTCTCTACATGGAAGAAAGATAGAAAGTAGGAAGACGTGGGAGGTTCAGAGGGGATAAGGGAAGGAGGGAGAGACAGCACCAAAGGTTGGAGTAACAAGCTATCAAAGGACAGAGAGGGAGGCCAGCCGTGGTAACTCAAGCCTTTAATCCCAGCACTTTGGGAGGCCGAAGTGGGCAGATGACCTGAGGTCAGGAGTTTGAGACCAGCCTGACCAACATGGAGAAACCCCATCTCTACTAAAAATACAAAAAATTAGCCGGACGTGGTGCTTGTAATCCCAGCTACTCGGAGGCTGAGGCAGGAGAATTGCTTGAACCCGGGAGGCAGAGGTTGTGGTGAGCTGAGATGATGCCATTGCCCTCCAGCCTGGGCAACAAGAGCAAAACTCTGCCTCAAAAAAAAAAAAAAAAAAAAAAAAAGGAAAGAAAGAAAGGACAGAGGGGGAAAGAGAAACAGGAGAGTTTGGGGGAGAGGTTTGACTGGCTCAGGAAGGGAGCAGTGGGGGCCAGCAGGGCAGGGCTGGGCCTCTGGTGTTAGGCTAACAGGCTACTGTGTGTCTCTAGGAAGGGGAGAAGCAAACTGGAGGCAAAGCAACGGTGGTCCAGGGTCCCCCGCCTCTGCTCCAGGAAAGCAGAACAAAGGCACCTGCGGGTCAGCAATAGGCGCGATTCAAAGGCGACAATACTTTGCACTCTGATTAAAAGGGGATAAGGCTATCTCTTTTGAGTGTGTTCATGTGCATGGTTTGCAAAGCACTTTCACATCCAGTTCTGAATCTATTTGTCACAACAGTTCCACCAGGCAGGGGAGGATTCTGCGCACCCCCTGCTCCTTTACAGATGAGGAAATCAAGACGTGAGGCAGAACTGGATTATGAACACAGAACCTCTGACTTCTGTCCTTTCCTGGATTGCGATTCTGTCCCATCTCTTAACCACACTGCAAATCACAGCTGCCCCTTTCAACCAAGTCGCCGTCCAATACTGCGTTGGGGCAGGGGGCCGAATCCTAGATGCTCGATGCCTTCTCATCTTCCCTTGGCCTCCAAAGTTAATGATGACACCTAGACTTTGACAACATTACATTCCTTGCCTCTTCAGAACTATCCAAAGTCTGGGCCGGGCGTGGTGGCTCACGCCTGTAATCCCAGCACTTTGGGAGGCTGAGGCAGGCGAATCACAAGGTCAGGAGTTCAAGACCCTGGCCAACATGGTGAAACCCTGTCTCTACTAAAAATACAAAAAATTAGCTGGGCATGGTGGCGGGCGCCTGTTATCCCAGCTACTCGGGAGGCTGAGGGAGGAGAATCGCTTGAACCCGAGAGGTGGAGGTTGTAGTGAGCCGAGATCGCACCACTGCATTCCAGCCCGGGTGACAGCACAAGACTCTGTCTCAAAAAAAAGGACTATCTAAAGTCTGAAATTGACCACAGCGACCCTATTTCATTGTCTTCCCTTGAGACAGGGAGAGTTAGGTGTTCTCCCCTAACCCAAGAAGAAACTGAAGCCCAGACAGCGAAAGTGACTGGCCCAAGACCACAGTGAGTCAGTGGCGTGGCTGGAAGCTGGAATAGGACTAGAACACAGATCCTCTTACCACCCCCTTATCCAGATCCCCTCCTTACCTGCAGCACTGACAGGTTGGTCTGTCCAGAAAGGCTCAGCTTCTCCTGCTCTGAGGGGTAGGCGTTGTAGCGGTGCAAGTACAGCCAGTCACGGAGGATCTTCACCGACTCCTTGGGCAGGTTCCCCCTGCGCTTCCTTTTGCCCGTCAGAGAGAGGAGGCCTTCGTCCTCGCCTAGATCACTGTCCGACATGGTGCCTAGGGGGCTGGACCTTGGGTAAACCTGGGACAAGTGACACAGGGGATAGGAACGTCATTAGCATGTACTGCCTTTTCCTAGTCTCCAAACACGCTCAGCATTACTTGAGCCTGGGACACCAGAAATGGGGTAATTGCAATTCAGAGTCTCAGGCCATAACACAGCCCAAGCAAGCTAGAAGGTATGAGTCCAAAGTTCCTCCACTTCATGGAACAGGTAGGTGACTAGCAAATGGCAGCTCATTCACACGCAGGACTTGGACTGGAAATAATTACAGTTTCCACTGAGGTCTGCTATTCTCCATGTTCGGTACTGAGCATTTGGTTTTTTCTTATCTTTTTTTTTTGTTTTTGAGACAGGGTCTCACTCTGTAGCCCAGGCTGGAGTGCAGTGGCACCATCTCAGCTCACTTCAACCTCTGTCTCCCGGGTTCAAGTGATCTCCCACCTCAGCCTCCGAGTAGCTGGGATTACAGGCATGCATCTGGCTAATTTTCTGTATTTTTTAGTAGACACGGGGTTTCACCATATTGGCCAGGCTGGTATTGAACTCCTGGCCTCAAGCGATCTGGCAGCCTGAGCCTCCCAAAGTGCTGGGATTACAAGCGTGAGCCACCATGCCCGGCCTGTACTGAGCATTTTACACGTTATCTCATTTAATTACAATTCCTCAATAAGGGAGAAGCTATTATTATCATCATTTTATAGCTGAGGTAACAGAGAGCAATTAAGACAGCTGCCCAAGGCCAGCGCAGTGGCTCACACACACACACACACACAAAATACAAAAATCAGTCAGGTGTCATGGTGTGCACCTGTAGGCCCACCTACTTGTGGGACTGAGGCAGAATTGCTTGAGCCCAGGAGGTCAAGGCTGCAGTGAACTGTGTTTGTGCCACTACACTACAGCCTGGGTAACAAAAAAATAAAAAAGGTCTCAAAAAATAAAGGCTGAGCTTGGTGGCTTATGCCTGTAATCCTAGCACTTTGGGAGGCCAAGGCAGGCAGATCAGGAGGTCAAGAGCTCGAGACCATCCCGGCCAACATGATGAAACCTCATTTCTACTAAATATACAAAAATTAGCTGGGCGTGGTGGCGCGCGCCTGTAGTCCCAGCTATTCCGGAGGCTGAGGCAGGAGAATTGCTTAAACCCAGGAGGCGGAGGTTGCAGTGAGCCGAGATGGCGCCACCGCACTCCAGCCTGGTGACAGAGCGAGAATCCATCTGAACAAAAACAAAACCAAACAAACAAAAGGCCGCGCGCGGTGGCTCACACCTGTAATCCCAGCACTTTGGGAAGCCGGGGCAGGTGGATCACAAGGTCAGGAGTTTGAGACCAGCCTGGCGAATATGGTGAAACTCCGTTGCTACAAAAAAATACAAAAATTTGACAGCTGTGGTGGCAAGCGCCTGTAGTCCCAGTTACTCAGGAGGCTGAGGCAGGAGAATCGCTTGAACCTGGGAGGCAGAGGTTGCAGTGAGCCGAGATCATGCCACTGCACTCCAGCCTGGGCAACACATTGAGACGCCATCTCAAAAAAAAAAAAAAAAAAAAGCTGCCCAAGATACTATGGTGGTCAAACGGAGTTACTATGCAACCCAGAAATTTCACTCCTAGATAGTCCAAGAGAAATGAAAACTTGTGTCCACATAAAACCTCATACACACATATTCACAGCAGTATAGGCTGAGGTAGAAGGAATATTTGAACCCAGAAGTTCAAGACCAGCTTGGGCAACATAGTGAGACCTCATCTCTACAAAAAAAAAAAAAGTCGTCTATCTTTTCAATGGTTTATTCGCCCATTAAAAAAAGGAATTCATAGCCGGGAGCGGTGGCTCATTACTGTAATCCCAGCATTTTGGGGGACTGAAGCAGGTGAATCACTTGAGGTCAGGAGTTCAAGACCAGCCTGGCCAACATGGTGAAACCCCATCTCTACTGAAAATACAAAAAAATTAGCTGGGCGTGGTGGTGTGCGCCTGTAATCCCAGCTACTCGGGAGGCTGAGGTAGGAGAATTCCTTGAACCCAGGAGATGGAGGTTGCAGTGAGCCGAGATTATGCCATTGCACTCCAGCTTGGGCAACAAGAGTGAAACTCCGTCTCAAAAAAAAAAAAGTCAGTCCTGACATATGCTACAATATAGTAGGCCTTGAAAGCATTATGCTAAGGGAAAAAAGCCAGTCATAAGAGACTACATGTTATATGATTTCATTGATCATGAACTCTATCGAGACAGGGTAGATTAGCTAACTAACAGCTCCACAGTTAGGGCTGCAGAGACAGAATGCTGATAGCTAAAGTGTATGGAGTTTCTTTCTGATGGGGTAAAAACATCCTGGGCCAGGTGTAATACAGGCCCAGGTGTAGTACAGGCTCATGCCTGTAATCTCAATGCTTTGGGAGGCCAAGGCGGGAGGATCCCCTGAGGCCAGGAGTTCAATAGCAGCCTGGGCAACACAAGACCCTGTCTCTACAAAAAATAAAAATTGGGGCCTGGCGTGGTGGCTCACGCCCGAAATCCCAGTACTTTAGGAGGCTGAGGCGGGTGGCTTACCTGAGGTCAGGAGTTCGAGACCAGCCTGGCCAACATGGTGAAACCCCCGTCTCTACTAAAAATACAAAAAGTAGCTGGGTGTGGTGGTGGGCACCTGTAATCCCAGCTATGCAGGGGAGGGCTGAAGCAGAAGAATTGCTTGAACCTGGGAGGTGGAGGTTGCAGTGAGCCGAGATCATGCCATTGCACTCCAGCCTGGGTGACAGAACGATTCTCTGTCTTAACAAAATAAAAAAAAATTAAAATAAAAAATAAAATAAAATAAAAATTAGCCCAGTATGGTGTGCCAATACTCCCAGCTGCTCAAGAGGCTGAGGTGAGAGGATCCCTTGAACCCAGGAGTTCAAGGCTGTAGTGAGCTATGATCGCACCAGTGCATGTCAACTTGGACAATATAGTAAGACCCCATTTTAAAAAATAAAATAATAAAAAAAAAAGCCACATGCTGTGGCTCACACCTATACTCCTGGCACTTTGGGAGGCCAAGGCAGGTAGATCACTTGAGCTCAGTAGTTCAAGACCAGCCTGGGCAACACGGTGAAACCCCATTTCTGCAAAAAAATACAAAAATTAGTTGAGCATGGTAACACATGTCTGTGGTCCTAGCTACTCTGGGGGCTGAGGTGGGAGAATCGCTTGAGCCTGGAGGCAGAGGTTGCAATGAGATGAGATAACACCACTGTACTCCAGTCTGAGAGGCAGAGCAAGACCCTGTCCCCCCATCCCCCTCAAAAAAAAGTCCTAAAATTGACTATAGTGATAGTTGCAAACATACCAAAACCTGCTGATAAGTATACTGTAAATGGATGAATTGCATGGTATGTGAGTTATATCTCAATAAAGCTGTAACGGAAAAAAATCCCACCCCCAGCTTAGGATACTTAAGTTGGATTTGGACCAGGCCTCTCCCCACCTTCTCTTGTGGGCTGTATACTGTACTGCCTCCTAGGTCTCCCAACGCCCAGTGAGAACTCCGGAAACTACAGATCACCATGGTCCTGCAGCAGTCCATGTGATATTTAAGGAGCACCTACTGTGTACCTTGCAGTGAGAGAGGTGAGTCATCTCTCTACTGGTTGCTTCTTGGACATTCTCCTTTGTCAGGCCCCTTGGCCTGGTCCTAGACTCAACCACTCAAAATCCAGATGAATGAGCAAGGCCCACCCTCCACTTGGCACTGTAATCCTGGGCAAGGATCCTCCCCTCTCTGGGCTTGAGTCCTGTCTTCACCTGTCAAATGAAGGAAGGATTTTCCCTAGATAACCCAAATCAGCTGCTCAGCCCCCGACAAAGTTCTGTTTCACACATGCAAAAAATATTTTCTTTTTTTTTTTTTTGAGATGGAGTCTTGCTCTGTAGCCCAGGCTGGAGTGCAGTGGCGCAATCTCGGCTCACCGCAACCTCCGTCTCCTGGGTTCAAGCAATTCTGCCTCAGCCTCCGGAGTAGCTGGGAGTACAGGTGTGTGCCACCACACCTAGCTGTTTTTTTTTTTTTTTTTTTTTTTTAGTAGAGATGGGGTTTTGCCATGTCGGCCAGGCTGGTCTCGAACTCCTGACCTCAGGTGATCTGCTGGCCTCGGCCTCCCAAAGTGCTGGGATTACAGGCCTGAGCCACCGCATCCGGCCAGATTTTCACTTTAAAAGCAAAAGTTCTAGGCCAGGCTGATGCCAGGATCTCAAGGCTCCTCCCTTCTCAGCCTTTTAACAGCTCCCCAGCAGGCCGGCCAACAGACTCTGGCATCTCCCAGGTTTTGTTTCCTCTTCTTGGACCTGCGCCCAGATCTCTGGGCTGGCTAGGCCAGGCTTTCGAGGGAAGGGTCTACCCTTTCAGCCAGGCCACCTGGAGGTGAGACAGGCACTGGTTAGAGGTGCCACTCCTCAGACAGCACCACAGCAGGCGCTTTCTGAGGTCAGACAGACATTTCTAGATGGCCAGGGCAGCTGGGATCCGGGCTCAGTGATGCAGCCCTGGCCGGCTGTGAGAAGTTTACTCAAGGTTAGCTGTACAAATTCCACCCTGGCTGCCAGCCAAGTCTGTCCGCAGGGTTCCCCGGGTGGGCCCTGGGGAACGACCTCTCAGCCTACACAAACTTCTCCACCTCGGTGTTCTGCAACCCAGGGCCATCTATAGGCTGGGAGGTTTCCCACATATGCACCCTACACCGCACCCAGACACACTCAAGCCAGGGAATTAACCAACAGCGCTAGGATAACTGGCCCGGACCCATCGCTCAAGCCCTACAAACCCTAGGGTTTATCACCGACACATACAGCACGCACACGCACAGCTTACAGACCCAGGCCTAGCACGAACAACAGTGACCCACGCAACTAACCCAACTTTTGTACCCGCCCACCCACGAACTCCAACCGACCCGGCCACCCCCAATTTCTCCGACAGGGAAAACTCCAGGCGTCATCACACTAACAATCAGTTCTACCCTCAGTGACCAGTGGCAGCACCCCCTCGACACAACATCCCATGCACCCTCCTACAGAATCCCACGACGCCACCTGCAGCCACTCCCGCACCAACTTTCTGACAACTCCCCTAGCTCGGCCCCGACACTCCCCCCGGCCGCGCACTCACGCCCGCATTCCCAGCAATGCAGACAAAGCGCGCAACCTCCCCCGCGGCCCAGACCGAGTCGGAGCACATGGCTCCCCGGTCGGCGAGGAATCGGCCGGCGCTTGGGGCGCCTGCACCCCACAGTACCCCCACCCCTGGCCGACTCCGCGCACCAGCTCCCCGGCGGGCCCGCCATCCCGGTGGGGCGGGTGCTCTGGAAGAAAGAAAACTCACGTGTCTGTCCTGGAGCAGGAAAAAGTTTGGTTCCCACCCCCTTCCCCGGCAGTTCGGGGCTGGCCGACTCTTCGGGGCGCGGGGCCGGCGGAGCGTGCGCGCTCTGCTTTGTGCTCCGAACTCGGCCCTGAGGGGGAGGGGAGGGGAAAGGAGGGGAGGGGGCTGGGCTCCCACCTCCGCGCCGCCCCCCCACAGCCCTGCGCCCAGACTCCATGTTGGCCGCCCCCTGCCCCGCAGGCTGCGCGCTTCTCCTGCGAGAGGCTCGGCTCACCCTCGGCCTGCCCGAGGGTCCCGGCGCCAACAAACTTTCTCCGGGGCGCCAGCCTCACGCGCCCCGCTTCCTTGGCCCGCCTGGGAGTGACAGATGCCTCAGAGACAGACTTTCCTTTGTTCCAAAGGAAAGGGGAACTCGCGCGGGCTCCCCAGGGCCCCCCCGCTCCGGGCCCTTCCCGCGGCCCCCACTCCCAGCTGTCACTCTCGGCCGCCCCCTGCCCGGCTCGGCGGCGGGGGGGCCCTGCCGGCGGTTAGCAACGTGCACTTTTGAAACCAAACAAATCCGCCCCCCCGCGCGCTCACTCAGGTCCGGCGCAGGATCGGCCCTCTCCTGGGGTGGGATCCTATGAAGCTGGGCCCCCCACCAGGGCCCCGAGCAGGCTTCCTCCCGGGGGCTGGAACAGCCCCCTACCAGCCCCCGGAGCGCAGCGCCTTCGGGACTCACAAACACCCCCTGGGGGCCGTCGGGACTCACAAACACCCCCGAGCTCACACACCCCCAACCGCACGCGCCAGACTACGCCCCCTCCCCCGTCCGACTGAGAAAAAGAAACTTTCCAAGTTGTCCGCGCGCCCCCACCCCCATCTGGCCCTCTCCTGCTCCCTGCACTAACTTTTCCGAGAGGCTTTCGGGTCCACGCGGCCTCGGGCTCGGCGCGGGGAGTCCCGGCGGGGGGCGGGGGGCCCCGGGGGCGCGCGCAGCGTACCTGCCCGGCCTGACACTCGGCCTGACAGCTCGCGGCTGGAAAGCACCTCGCGGCCTGACGTCAGATCCCCTCTCCTCCCCCCGCGCCCTCCGCGCCCTCCCCCACCCGCCCGGAGGGAGAAAACAAACTTTGTGAGGAGCGCGACAAGCTGCGCCCACCCCCCGCGGGGCGGGCCGAAGGCGCCGAGGGGCTTCGCCCCGCCCAGCGCGCCCGGAGGGGGCGGGGCCGCGGGCACCTTCTTCCTGCGCCCACCCCGCCCTCAGGAATGCTGCATGGCCTCCCTAGAGCGGCGGTGGGAGCCTCGGCCGGGGAGAGCCCGCTCGGGGGCAGGAAGTGGCCCGGCCCTCCTCGTGGAGGGTGTTTCCGGAGCGCCTACTGTGCTCCTCGCCGGAGTGGGGGTCGTTACCGAGGGGGAACTTCTGTAAATCGTGACTTTTGTCATTTCGCGCCCCCCACAAGATGTCCTGCCGGCGGTGCGATTGCTCCCGTTGCTTCGAGGGGAAACTGAGGCCAGTTAGTCCGGGCACTTACCCTCAGCTGGTAAAGGACTGGGCTCTGATGGGGACGCCTGTTATGACCTCAAGGGCCTATAGAGTCTGGGAGGCCGCCTCCGACCTAAGCCCAAAAAGCACATGGTCGGGCTCACAGGGGGCGGCCAGAGGTGAAAATTGCCAGTGTTTTGCAGCGACGCTGTGCGGGGCACTTCGTGTGTGTCATCCCGTCTCATCCTCGGGTGATGGGGTATGTGTTGTCCTTTGTAAGTCTCTGGCTTGTTCATGAGCCACAGAGAGGTTCTTGATTTGCTTTTGTCACACAGTCAACCGGTGTCATTCAGCCCAGGTCGGTCGATAGTGAAGCCTGATCCCTTACCCGTTGTGCTCGGTCTTAAACCATCAGTCCAGGAGCTCCCAGAGTTCCTGTCTGGTTTCTTTTTCCTCTTCTGCCGGTTACACCCTACTCCAGAAGGTTTTCCTTGGCCTCCCCCACCCGGGTCAGTACACTCTTCCCCCGCTGTCTGCTGTGGGTACCACATACTGTGAAATACCTGTTAACCAATCTCTTAGGGCACCCCCACGCCCCCCAGCCCTGTACCCAGGCACGGCTGGGCCCAGATATCTAGGGCCCCTGAGCTTGTAAGTCGCTTTGAAAACAGCTTTTGGTCTTAATGGCCCTTTAGCAAGGGAGAACTCTAGGAACAATACTCTTTAATTTTTCACAAGCAAGCCTTAAGCCAATCAGAACGCCGATTAAAAGATTGTTAAGGTTTCACCTGGACACCCCATAGAAGCCAGACTTCCTGCAAATGTTAAAAACCTCCTCACAGCAGCGGGTGAAATGTCAGTGGCACTGCCCGTTGCTCTCCATTTCACAGGGAAACTGAGGCCCAGAGTGTGGGTCAGAAACAATTTTCTTGGCCGAATAAGTGGTGCTTCCCCCACAGCCCTCTGAAAGAAAAAGCCATGTCTGGGTTGCCTTAGGTAAGAAATGTAAAACCAATGGGCCTTGGCCTCTAGGAAATGTATGGGACAGGGACCTTCAGAAGAGGGGAGCCCCAGGGGGAAACGGGTGCGATCAGGTGAGCCTGGAGAGGGGGCTCCGGTAGTGGCTGCTGAGCTTGAACTCTGCACTAGGTATTTTTCTCCTGTATGCCTAAGAGCCACACTGCCCTTTCTGGGGAAGCCACTGGGGGCCTAGGCTAGAGGCAGACACCGCACCATAAATTGTGCCTGCAGCAGCCCCTTAGACCAGTTCTTCCCAAGTCTGGTGCTAGATGAGGTTGGGGAAATGGAAGGGAGTGACTGCCTCCTCCTCCACCTGAGAGCTGCATAACAAAGACCTTCCTCCTGGAGGACGGGGTAGGGGTGAAGGGAGGCTGGTAGCCCATCAGATTTTGCACGTAAGCAAGCTTCACAGGTAAAGCCTTAGTGCAATTAGAGTTTGAGAATTACTGTGTAAAGTTTCTCAACTAGTAAGTATCAGAATTTAAAATGTGTGGATTCTCTAAGCCAGTAATTCCACTTATAGGAATCTGTGTTTAGAAGTAGCTGTACAACAAAGATAAATGCTTATAGAAGATTATTCTTTGCAGAACTGTTCATTCGGGAAGATTGCAAACAGCTAAATACCCCTCACCAGGAGCTGGCCCATTATAGCAACTCTGAGACCTCTCTACCGCAGGCTCTGAAAATGGGGTAAGTTGGTGCACGCTAATGTAGGGGCATGGCCAAGGTGTGTTTATTGACAGCTTACAGTGTCCCAACATGGAGGGACTTTGGACATACTTGGTGAGAACTTTAGTGGGAAAACTTTTTCAAAGTGATAAGTCATTTTATTGTCATTTTTCTCTCCCCCACTTTCTTTTTTCTTTTCTTTTTTTTTTTTTTGAGACAGAGTCTTGCTCTGTCTCCCAGGCTGGCGTGCAGTGGGGCAATCTCAGCTCACTGCAACCTCTGCCCCCCAGGTTCAAGCGATTCTCCTGCCTCAGTCTAAAGGTGCCCACCACCATGCCTAGCTAATTTTTGTGTTTTTAGTAGAGACGGAGTTTTGCCATGTTGACCAGGCTGATCTTGAACTGACCTGAAGCGATCCACCGCCTCAATCTCCCAAAGTGTTGGGATTACAGGTGTGAGCCCAGCCTTCTCCCCCTCTTTCTAAATTAAAAAATATTGTGGTAAGAAGCTCCCCCCACCTTTTTTCCCCGTGTTTGAAGAAACTGGGTCACTAAGGGAAGAAGAGACTTGCCTAATACGAGTTTGGGGTGCTGACCCCGGGAGGGAGCTGGGGATAGACTAGGAGAGGAAGGAGAGGTGGAAAGGCATCCAAGCCAAGACCAGGCTGGCTGCCCAGGTCATCTAAGTCAGTTCCCTGCCTCCGTGCCAGAAAAACCCAAACCGGAGGCTCTGGGATATGAGGCTCCAGGTTCATCCTGCCAGTTTCTAGTGAACTTGGTGATCACATAGGTTCAAATGAATAAATCCACTTAAAAAAAAAAAAACAAAAAGCCAGCCATTTCCTTTTTTTTTTTTTTTTTTTTTTTGAGACGGAGTTTCGCTCTTGTTGCCCAGGCTGGAGTGCAGTGGCAAGATCTCAGCTCACTACAACCTCTGCTTCCCAGGTTCAAGCGATTCTCCTGCCTCTGCCTCCTGAGTAGCTGGGATTACAGGCATGCAACCACCACACCCGGCTGATTTTGTATTTTCAGTAGAGACTGAATTTCGTCATGTTGGCCAGGCTGGTTTTCAACTCCTGACCTCAGGTGATCCGCCTGCCTCCGCCTCCCAAAGTACTGAGATTACAGGTGTGAGCCACTGCACCTGGCCACCGCTCCATTTTTGATGGAAGTGGGGAAAGGCACCAGCATTTACTGAGAATCCACATGAGCCAAGTCGTGTCTCAGGATAAAGGAGAAGATGGGGTTCTGTGGGGTAGAGGTAAGAGTCCAGCAAAGGCCAGGGAAAGTGGAAGTGTTCAGGAAACAACTGGATTGGGTGAGATGGAAGGGCCGTGAAGGCCAGCATAAAGAATTTGGATTTGGCAGTGTGGGCAGTAGAGAGCCCCAGCTGGTTCCTGTGGAGAGCTGGGGAGAGACTGAGGGAGGATAGTTGGTGACTCAGCTCTGGGTAATTGAGGCTGGGCGGATGGAGACCCGCCTCTGAGATCTAGGGAGATTTGTGGCTGTTATGTTAGGTTCTGCCTTTTCATCTAATGTTGGTAAGTGGAATTCCACATCTTCCTCCTGAAAAGTCTTGTAGTGTCTTGTTGGTCAACCACTATTTGCCTAGCTCTCTCCTAGTTGTTGGGTATTTACTCACGTAACTAATTCCTGAGTGGCCGCCTGTGTCTGGCTGTGTGCCTACAGCTGGAAAACCTACAGCCAACCTTAGTCCTGAAGGCTTTGGGCGACAGTGCCTTGTGGTGGGAAGGCTGTGGCCCTGGGACTTGGTTGCTAGCCAGGTGATTTAGGATAATCATCCACACCTTCCGAGCTTCCCTTTTCTCGTGTTGTGGAAATACAAGGCTTTGGTAAGAGTCAAAGAAAATAGGCACACCCTTTGTTTTATTGTGCCTTGCTTTTTTGCGCTTTGCAGGTACTGCATTTTTTACAAAGTGAAGGATTTTGGCAACCCTGCATCGAGCAAAGTCTACCGGCATTATTTTTCCAAAAGGATGCTCAGTCTGTGTCTCTGTGCCACATTTTGGTAATTCTTGCAACATTTCAAAGTTTTGTTGTTATTATTTCTAGTATGGTGATCTGCTATCACTAATCTTTGATGTTACTATTGTAATTGTTTTGGGGGGTCATGAGTGATGCCTGTGTAAGATGGCAAACTTAATCCATCAATATTTTATGTGTTCTGACTGCTCCACCAACCAGCTGTTTGCAGTTAGTAATCCTATAGTGGCCTCTAAGTGTTCAAGTGTAAGAATGTGTTGCAAATCTCTCACTTCACATTGAGAGCTAGAAATAATTAAGCTCGGTGAGAAAGGCATGTTGAAAGCCAAGATAGGCCTTTTTTGTTTTTTTTTAGTTTTTAGTAGAGGTGAGGTCTCACTGTGTTGTCCAGGCTAGCCTCCAACTCCTGGGCTCAAGTGATCCGCCTGCCTTGGCCTCCCAAAGTGTTGGGATTAAAGGTGTGAGCCACCATGCCCTGCCTCTGGAGTAGCACTTTTAATTTCACTCAAGAACTATTGGCCAGGTGCAGTGGCTCACACCTCTAATCCCAGCTACTGGGGAGGCTCAGGCGGGAGAATTGCTTGAACCTGGGAGGCAGAGGGTGCAGTGGACTGAGATCACACCACTACACTCCAGCCTAGGCGACAGCAAGACTCCGTCTCAAAACAAACCAAAACTATCTGGCTAGGTCTGATGGCTCATGCCTGTAATCCCAACACTTCAGGAGGCCGAGGCGGGAAGGTCTCTTGAACCCAGGAGTTTGAGGCCAGCCTGAGCAACATGGCAAGACCCTGTCTCAACAAAAAATAATCAGCTGGGCATGGTGGCAAATACCTGTAGTTCCAGCTACTTGGGAGGCTGAGGTGGAGGAAGGCTTGAGCCCAGGAGGTTGAGGCTGCAGTGAGGTATAATTGTGCCACTGTGCTCCAGCCTGCGTGAAAGAGTGAGACCCTGTCTCAAAAATTGGCCAGGCGTGGTGGCTCATGCCTGTAATCTTAGCACTTTGGGAGGCCAAGGTGGGCGGATCACCTGAGGTAGGGAGTTCGAGACCAGCCTGACCAACATGGAGAAACTTCATCTCTACTAAAAATACAAAATTAGCTGGGTGTGGTGGCGCGTGCCTGTAATCCCAGCTACTCAGGAGTCTGAGGCAGGAGAATCGCTTGAACCTTGGAGGCAGAGGTTGCAGTGAGCTGAGATCGTGCCATTGCACTCTAGCCTGGGCAATAAGAGTAAAACTGCATCTCAGAAAAAAAAAAAAAAAAAAAAGATCCTAAATTACTCTGCCTGTGCTCTAGAAATGGAACAAGAAAGCCTGGATAACAGCACATCTGTTTACAGCATAGTGTACTGAATATAGGTCCCACTGTAGGTCCCACTCTTGAGACCTACAATTCAGAAAAGATTCCTTATGAAATATTACTACTCATTGACACCTAGGCTTCATTGGAAGACTGGGAGTCTGCGCTCGGACCCGGAAACAGCTGGGTATGGCATCCCCAATCAGAGCAGTAGAAATCAGCAGATCTGAGTTGGCCATTGTGTGGCCAGGGAGCTTAATGAGCATATTTTCTTCATTCTTTTTACTAGGGTCAGGGCTATAGAATGGAAGGGGATCAGATTTCGTTTGCATGGTTTCATCCTTTTTATATGTGGGAATTTTCTTACCTCTCGGAATATCGTTTAAATTACAAGAGCAAATACACCATGTTCAGGATGGGAAGTTAAACCTTTGAGAGGCACACAAAGAAAAAGCCAAGACCCCTCCCCTGAGCCCTCCCTTCAGCATTAGCAGTGATGACAATTAGGTGTATATTCTTTCTTTTACACCATCAGATAAGTGCATGTAGATGTCCACACAGGTCCTGAGAGATACTGCCTTCCCTGTTGCTCTCTCTTTTTTATTTTGCCTCAGTTTTCAATAGGTCTGTATTTAATACTTTCTACATAAACATCTCTGCAGTTGTGAGAATTTCCTGAAATAGATTCTCTGAAGTGGAATTACTGGGACCGACCGCATGGGTAGATATTGTGAAAGCAGATTACCAAAGTGCTCACGTGCCGGCGATTGTGGTGTTGGCGAGCTTGTCTTACCCAGTCCGCAGCCACAGCAAGTGTTAGCAATTTTGTGTTAATTAATCTTTTCTCATTTGATGGGTGAAGACTAGCCTAGGTTTTTTTTTTTCTTTTTTTTTTTTTTTTTTCAGACGGAGTCTAGCCCTTTTGCCCAGGCTGGAGTGCAGTGGCACTATCTCGGCTCACTGCAAGCTCCACCTCCTGGGTTCACGCCATTCTCCTGTAGTCTAGGTTTTTAATCTGCGTTTTTTGTTAGTGATATTGAACACCTTACAATTTCAGAATGACTGGACACTGGTCACTGTGAATCATCTCCATATCTTTTGCGGTCATAGCGATTTCTTTCTGATTTACAAGCTCTATTATACTAGTAAGGGTTCTCTTTTTTTGTTTGTTTCTTTTTTCATTTTTGAGACAGGGCAAGAGCTCTGTCACCCAGGATGGAATGCAGTCACTGCAGCCTTGACCTCCTGGGCTCAAGTGAGCCTCCTGCCTCAGCCTCCCAAAGTGCTGGGATTACAGGCCTGAGCCACAGTGCTGAGCTATGGTAAGGATTCTCAACCCTGGTTTGTCATATTTGCTCCAAGTAGTTTTCCTTTTCTCTAAGATTATTGTTTGCCTTAAATTTTTAAAGTGTTTTAATTTTGGGGTTTAAAATTTTCACTTGGTCAAATGTCAGTCTTTGTGACGATACCCATTGCATTGAGTCTCAGAGAGAATATCTGATGTTTTCTTTTTGATTTTGTTTCTCAATGGCTTGTTTAACATTTAACCCTTTGCTGCATCTGGAATGTATTTTGGGTTGCAATGTGCAGTAAGAATCCTTACAGTTTTTTTATTTTTTATTTTTGTCTGATTTTCTGAACTGCACACCATTTCTTTCTTTCTTTTTTTTTTTTTTTTTTTTTTGTATCTTTAGTAGAGACGGGGTTTCACCATCTT